CTTCACACTACACCTACATGGATGATGACACATGCAGCTCACTGCAAGAATAACTACAGAAACTAAAGAAAGATCATTTTAAGGCACTTGTCTGGCATGTCAAATGCAACATAACCTACATATTCCTAAGGAAAGGACGAGTAGTAAACACATCAGATTGATCCAACTCTACTAGTACACCGTAGTTTTTCCCCTTTTAACCCTTTCTCCTTTAAGAGAGGGACATATAATATTGAGTAGTTCCAGATTACTCTTCCAGGCAAAATGTACACGGGTTGTTTGCAAAGGCAGACCAGAGATTTTCGGAAGGAAAGGCAAACAGTGACATTTTTATCAGCATCCAGAACAAGTTGCCCAGTTTTGCAGAAATGCTGTGCATTACTGCATTCTTTCTGGTAACAAGACATCACTGACTCACAACACAAGCTTATTATACACCTTTCTTTTCCTCCAGTCCAGTGTGAAAGAGGTGGATTGAAAGCAGAGGTTCTTTGGCCGGGCACTACGTAAGTTCTGCCCCGCTATCACCCAAGTAAGTGATTTCAGAAAACCCTCATCTACTTCACAAATTGCTTCCACTCTGATTCTCTTCCTCTCTCCAGTTGTTTGGTTTTGCTCAGCTCAAACTGATCAAAAAATTAGCATCTGCTAATCTGAATCAAAATTTGCCTCCTTAGTGCACCAGAGGAACACTGTACACGAGAAAGGTCAGTGGATTATTCTTAGATCACTGGAGAAAGCTAATACCACAATGATGAGCTTCAAAAATCTTCTTCAAAAAGTTTCCAGAAAAACTCATCCACAGCTGAGTACATTTCAAACCTGATGAATTAATGCACTGAACAAAAACACAAAAAGGGCTAAATACTGCAGGATTAGCGTTACTTAAAAATTGTGCTGGACGTAAATGCCTTTGCTTTTGTTTTCTCCCTACCTGGCATAACTTTGATACATTTTTGGCTCCATGTCAGAGCTTATTTGATTTACCAGGTAAAAGACAAGCCAAATAGAACAATACTGAATGCAAAAATTCTTTTTGTCTCCTTGAAAATTAGAGTACTATAAAAATATAAAAGTTGATATTGAATACAAGATGATAGTAAAACCCTGCCCTGCCCATTTTTCAGACCAGAGAAGGAACTCTGGCTGCATATAATGCATCTTGATAATAAGCACATGTGAAAGCAGCTGTTAATTAGAGCAACAACTAGGTCACTGAAAATTTCAGGTCAAGGAAGCTAATCACACCATTTACCATTAGACCTCGTTGGTATTCACAGGAACATTTATAAACCCTCCTAACATTAGAGTTTCAAATTGCTCTCTGCCCACCTTGGAGAGCTCATCAAGTGTTGCTGCATGAGGACCAAAAGCTTATATAGCACAACTCATGACAGTGCAGATACAGGAGTTCACTTGAAACAATTATGCTGAGTTAATAGTGCAAAATAATAAATTATGAGTTGAGAGAAAGGTTGGGTAAAGCTTGGTGAGCTTTAAGTTAGCCTGTACATTAAAGTAATGTCCTCAGGCTATGATAAAAAAATAAAATGCTAGGCTAAAGTCAAAAAAGCAAAGAAGGGTCAGTGGAAACAGCAGACAGACTTCTGAGGCTGTCACTGCCCTTTTTTAGAGCTTTATGTACTACAGCTTATTTCTACCTAAGGCTGGTATCCTGGTCTTCTTCACAGCCTTAAATAACCTGGATCATTCCTGTTTCAAAGTCTGTTTTTCAGACCTAAATATGAGCAGAAAAGTGTTTTTAAATGATTTTGAGCAAGCTGTGAGTTCTGTGTCTTTCCAGGTCATTTATAATGCATCAGAATGACAATTGCATTAAGCTCCACACAGAGACTCATAAAACAGCAAGTGGCAGCAGGAAAGAGTCAGAGAAGAGGAGAGGGTGTAACTGTCCAAGAAGAGATTTATAAATCAGGATTAAATAACACAAAACAGAGTGAGGGGGACTAAACTATCATTATTTTCCTTAAAGGAAACACTGACAAAGCACAGTGCATGGATGGAGGCGGAGAGAGTAATAATGAGCACTCAATTTGCCTTTAAAAACACACTGGTTGTTTAGTACAGCTTGATTTAGATGACACCAGATTAGAAAGCAAAAAGAAATTACAGAAATATGAAAATAATTAATATTCGAGGTAGCACATTGTAATGAAAATCATTGCCAAGAGAAAGTAAAACTTGAAAAATAGCATTAATGCTCTGTTTATTTTTAAAAATCAGATGGAAATAAACCAAACTCAGCTTGTGTTATGTATCCAAATGGAATAAAAAAGCCCCAATCAGCCATGCTAAAGATAAAATTCCCAGAGTTTTCTGTATGATTTCTCATTTAATAATTCAAGTATAAACAGTAACGTCTAACTGGGAATTGTACTAGGTTAGCAGGGTAAATAAGTTACCAACTTGTGGTTTCTGTCCTTTGCAAATCTTGAGCAGAAAGGGGTGAAAATACACTGGCTTCCTTAATTATTAGGATTATCATTCATTGTAAATATAATGTATAATGGCCAGAGGCTCCAATGAGTTTCATTACTCTAAATGCTTTATTCCAGAACAGTGACACTCTGCTTTGCACTTACAATTTAAAAGGCAGTGAAAGAGATAAGAGGTGAGAAATGTCTGAATAAATGATTATAGGCAGAGTCAGATAATTCTCAGTATAGCCACACAATGTCTAATTATTTATTTACACTATTAGGATTTTAACAAGCCTTTCTTTTGAAACTTCTTTATGACTTGTAAACCAATGAATGACTAGGGAATCAAAAAAGGAGAGTGGCAGACACATTCATCTCAGAATTAGCATGGAGGGTGGGAGATAATATGTCTTTTTAATTTTATATTATTAGATGATGTAAGGATAAACTGGCTTAACAAACACAAATGAATATTGGTATTTTATTATTTTAATCTTGTTTTCTTGTTCTATTTCAGTTCTTTCAGTTGGGATGAAACAATATTTTGTTGTGAAGAGACTGCCTCACATCCAAGTATACACAGGTAGGTCACAAACCCCTAAAGAAGAGACTGCAGGCCTGCAAAAGCTATTTCAGCCACTAACCATGGCTTTAACAGCCCTGCTCAGCTGGAGAGCCAACCTAAAAGTGACAGGATGGTCAAGGCACACCCTCAGAGTGTTGAAGGTGCAGCATCTCCACAGAATATGTTTAAATTTCACTGTATTGCATTGCAGCAGACAAGCTGTGAAAACCCCAGTAGATCCCTGGCACTGGGGAAGGTTTGGATGGTTGATGACCAGGCAGGGGAAAGGAGAAGCTCTGTATTTTTTGCTTTTGCTGTGTCTGTCTGTGTGAGACTTTTGGGGGGTTCTGGTTTCTGTCCTACAGCCCCAAGCTCTTCCTCTGGGTGGGCATTGCTTTCCTGACATCCCTGCCTCAGGAGCAGAGTTTACACTGGTACCTGTGTTTTGTGTCACAGGAACACCACAGGAGTGGCAGGAGATGATGTACCCACTTTTAGTAGGTTACAGATGTGGTTTTGTCTGTAGTTGTCACGTTCTGACATGACACAAAGCCCTGAGCTCATTGTTAGATGTAAATGTGTAATACTGGTATAGAAAGACACAAAATTTTTACTGCATCCCATTTTATCCACTACTTTGAAAATCCACACATTTTTACTTGAAGAAAGTGCTGGCAGCCTCCTCACATTATATTTAAAAACAATGTTTTTCTTCGTTCAAGGAAGAAAATAAAACCAAATGAAAACTTTCTTTGTTCTCAAGGCACTGCTACCTCTTGAAAAGCTTGTCCTTCAGGTACTATTGCAATATTTTAGCTTTGACAGCTGCTCTGTTGAGACATGACTACTGATAAAACAAAGCTTTGTCACTCCAGCTCCAGTACAATGGCAATGCACATGTCAGCAAGAAAAGAATTGAGGACAATATGTGATGCATCATTCTTGCATAACTTGTTTACCAAAAATCCCATTACAAGTGTGGTGAGGACCAGCTGAAGCATCTCAATATGTTGGTGGACTTAATCTAATGAAAGGCTGAATGTATGAGAACCCTGCACCATGTACTTCAAGATTAGAGTATGTTCTTTATACTTGCAAGTCACGAAGGCATAGCTGATGTTTAGAAAACAGCAAACAAAAAAAAAGAAAATGCTGCTTTGACTATTTCCAACAATATTTTTGTTTGTACAGAAACTCACAGTTCCTTCAGGCCTCTCCTTCTCTACTTCCATAGGGAATTTCGAGTAAATACTCATCATGTGATATCAAATAAATGTACGTCTATTAACCAACATAGGGATGAAGAAAAAGCTTTTGTTTGGTTGGGGTTTTTTTGTTTTAGTCAAAGAAAGCTCTTATACCTTTCCAACCAAATACTAGAATCAATCAGAAAATACTTGCAATCGAGAATACTTGCAATCTGCAGAGATCTGTAGTATTTAAAGGGAGCAGGGACTAAAACCTGTTTAACACAGTCACTTTAACACAGGAAAAGGGGAAAACAAAATAAAGGTCAGCAACCTGGGTTCAGGAACTCCATCTTGTTTACAGACTGTACACAACCAACATACACACCGAAGTACCAGCTCCCTCACACTCCTAGCACTGATTTCTTCCGAGAGTACACAGACTATAAAAATCCAAAGGATAATTCTTGTTTGAAACAATCTTAGTAGTGGAGACAGTCTGAGAAACACAGTGACCTTTCCCATTAGACCTTGACCTGGTGCATAGGAAGAGTTTGCTGAGTGTCAAAAGAGGTCCTGTGAGAAGTTATTTGCTGCCAAATCTCACTACAATATGGAAGAAAAACCTGGATCTACTCTAGCTGTTTTATATTGAGAGATGTACAATATTTACCAACAAGCAACAAATGAACTAAATATGCTTCTCTTAAATTAAGTAATCCATCTGTCAATAGCACAAACTAGACTCTGCTAATGTTTTAAAAGAACAGAATATATTATGCAAATAACATTTGCATAAACACTTACCCTTAGCTGGTCTCTTTCACAACTCATCTGTTGTTTTGAACTCTACAAGAGGAAAAAAGAACACCAAAATAACTTTGAAAGCATAACATTCTTGCCACAACAAAACTGCTAAATCTACCTATCTTACACATATAAATCTTGGAAATTTGTCTAAACACAATATTGCATTGTGGATCTAGACAGAATCATTACTGCAAGAAAGCTTTTTTCCCCACTTATATTTTAAAATTAGAAAAGGAAATTAACCAGAACGCACAACAAACCTGAGGTAGAAAAGCACTTTTTTTTTTAGATTTGAAACACTTCATTGGTAGTTCAGTTCAGGAAGAAGCTTTTCCCTGTTTCTGTTCCATCACAAGTCTGTGCTGTGTTTCTGAACACCCCTCTACTAAGATACCATGATACATTCACAGCACACCTAAGAAACAAAGATATGGAGGCTTCATATAAGTGATAACACACACTCCTATGACAACTTCCAGTTCTGATCAGGTGTAAGAATAACTCTGAAGATGATTTGATTCCACAGCATATTTTTTTCCGTGCTGCTGTCTCTGTGTTTTGCCAGGTTTATGAGAAATGCTCTCCAGAGTGTGAGAGCTTTGCTCAGGAACATACTCAGATGTTGATTTGTCCAGCCTGTGGTGAGAGGTTTTTTTAGTCTGATTGGTTTTTGTTTTGTTTTGTTTTTAAAAAGAAGTATTTTAAGAATATTTTATAATCATTAGGTAGTATAATTAGCCTTGAAAGTGCAATCACTGTCATTTCTGTCATTAATGTACATGGCAAAGAGTTCACAAAACATGAAATCTGATGCAATACAAAAAATTCAAATCTGAATCTTCAAAGGTTCAGAACACACTTTTTGCTACTTTGTACTTAGAAAAAGTTAAAGCATGGACTAATACCCATTTGTATAAATTTTCACTCTGTAGTGATGATGAAAAACTTCTCAAAGTTAGGTTACTACAAACAAATAAAGCTGCCAGCCCTTTTTGCATCGTAGAAGAAAGAATCCTGGTAAGGAAGTTACAAGCTAAACCTTCTACATGGACAGCACAAGTTTTACAAAGCAGTCCCTGTACGAAAACACAAAGTCTAACAGAAACAAATGCTCTTTGAAGTTCTCTAGCAGGGAATAAAATGCAAAGGAATTCAGCATAGGGCTAATTACACTTCCCCTGAGGAGTCAAACTAAGTAGAGTTAAAGTCACTATCACTTGCAGACTAATGATTCCACTTTTCAAAGTTCATGGCTTTACAGCATTTATAAATTACTTTAAGGTCTTACTAGTCTGCACTATAAGTGTGCTTGCATAAGTCTCAAGAGTTAATTTCAGATCTGAGTTCCATATGAGCCTCTTCACATTGATTAAAAAAAATAAAATAGATGGAGTATTTCAGTTGGAAGGGACCTACAATGATCATTTAGTTCCTTCACTGGAAATGACTGTGAAGAGTCTTTCAGAAAGACTGTCTGAAATTTATATTTGCTGTTTTACTTCCATTTTAATACAAGGGAAAAGAGCTTCCAATTGTACTTTTAATATCACCCTTGAAAAGAATGTGGTGTCCTCTTCCCCATGGGATGAAACTTTTGGCTCTGACCTCCCGTTAGCTGCACAGATTTACAGACTTTCTGCCTTCAGACAGAAAGGTGACCAGGGTGCTTAAAGATCTGGAAATACATCTAGACAGGGAAGTAGGAAGACCAGGATACTTCATCCTGGAAATGAGACAGCTCCAAAATTTGTACAAAACTAACTAAAAAACCTGTATCAAATATTTTTAGAGTGAAGTAAGGGTTATAGTTATTGATTATTTAAACAGATAGTTAATTCTGTGTTTTAATTAGTCTGCTACTGTAGTATGAAACACAAACCTGACAAATACCTGACAGCTCAGCCACCAGAACAGGATATGTTATTTAAGATTGAAAAGAAGTGTTTATGAACAGTGGGAGAACACGAGAGGCAAGGAGTGAATAAGAGTACAAGTCAGGAGAGGGTGACTGCACATCAACATCCAACTGCTCCACAGCTGGCAGCAAAAGAAACAGAAGGAAAACATCCATTTATTTAACACAAATGGCTTTCTTATGATTGTGAAATACTATTTTAAAATATACTTTGCTTCAATCTACCACCACATCCATGGCACTCCGGTTACTAAAGGAACAGAGAAACACAGGGGGGACAACAAGCAGGACACACCAATGCCAGCAATTCCCTTGGTTAAAAGTTCAGCAGATACTTGAGTCCAAACTGTGTGTTTTAGCTAAAATAACACAATCCATTGCAGGATGAATATCCACCTACACAGCTCCCCCATCACCCTTCACACCAGGAGCTTTCCAGAACAAAAGCAACAAGGCTTAGTGAAAAGGTATTATTAGGATGAGACTAAAAAGCAAAAAAATGAAACAACCCAAAACTTCCCTTAATGAAAAAAAAAAATCTTTTTCCTAGTTTAAACACTGATGCCATCTGTCTGTCTGTCTGGCCCTCTATTTATCAGTTCAAGTTTATTAATGTACATCTGGGAAAGGCTCATTTGGACACAAGCAGCTTTCTGTGCATCTAACCAGTGCCAAATTTGCTCTCTCATTTTGTCTTTTTTTGCTATCCATGCCAGTTTAAGAGAAACATCCTGGCAGTACTGAGCACTTAAGGGAAAACATAAATAATGCATTTACAATATGTAAACCTGTAAAGATAAATGAGAAAAACTGAAAGCTATAACATATTTAATTAATGATCAGGAGCCCCTAGAAGCAAACCTTGTGCATATCCTGCAATTTTAAATACAGTGCTTCTCAATCCTGAATTTACTTTGTTGTGTCTCTGGATTGAACCATGTGCAATGAACTATTTATTTATTTTAGCTCAAGACTGCTTGAAGAACCTGGTCAGTACATTGAGTGTCATTGTGTCAAGCTCTCACACACTGTGAGTTTAGTGAAAAGAATGCCTAAAAGATTGATCCTCTTTAAAGGGTTTCATCAAGGAAAAATTTTCAAAGAACTTGAACGACATTTCAAGACTACAGGTCTCTTTAAAAGACAGAAGGCTTAGAAGACACTCATGCTGTCAAGCTCCATCATTTTAAACCCCAAAGAGACCCTTTGGAAATCCTGTGCAACCTGCTGGTGTCATTCCCCAGGGAGCTCATGACTAGAAGGGGGAAGCTGGTTTTGTTTTCTTTAAGTAACAGTAACAGGCGGGAGACTGAAGATCTTTTAAGTGTATTTATCAGTCATCCACAATGCCTACCTCTAAAGAAACTGGAAAATAGAAAATGGGACCCATGCATGTATGAATGCACACATGAGGGAGTGACAGCACCACTCCAGGTGATAAGGAATGCCAACAGTCCACCTGGGAAGTTTTTTTGCTGTCAAGGTTTTTAAGTGTCATTTTAAAGAAAAGGTTTAGGTGATGGGGCAAAGAGAACAACAGGATGGTGACAAGGCTATTTACAGAATGTGCTGGTTAAAATGTAAAAGGAAAAAGTATTCTCCTTGCAGTACAACCTTCCCAAGTATTCGTTTTACATTTACAAATTCAAAATGCTTTAAGGATTGAGAAAATCCTTTGAAATGGAGCGCAGCCCCAGTGGTTGAAAAATAACCAATGGACATCTAATGTCTTTTACATTCTAGATATTTTGCCACAAACATTTGAGGTAAATGGACAGCCTGTGTTCTGAAACCAGTGCACATGAAACCCTCCTGTTTTCCACTGAGCACTCACAGCAATTACTCAGCCAAGATTTTCTGTGCAGCTTCAGACACCCACTCTAACAGCAGGGCCAGGAAAGGCCCTCCAGCATTGCTGTCTCTCTCTTTCCACCTCAAAAAAGGCCAGTGCAAATATGATTACCTGAATTGTAACAATATTCCTGTTTTCATTAGGAAAGGACAGCTTACAGTCAGTATCTACATATGAACTGTGGAACAAGAGAGCCAGATGTGAAAAGCTTGGCACTACTCACAGTCACAGTGCTTTTACCAAAACTTAACTTCCTGACTAGTGATTGCTCATTCATCTGACTGAGGCCTTATATTTCTCCTCATTCATAGATCAAACAGCTGAAATTAAACCATTCCATATTAGTTGTGTTTCACTAGATACTTTGGGACATTTCATACTATTTGCAAAATCCATCTGTTGGCGTTTTCTCTCATTAGATACTCATCTCACTGTAAAAGTCTTTTGTCAAAAATTAAATGCTTGTGTTTTTACCTTGCCACGCTGCCCAAAAATGCTGTGCCACACAAGGAGACACACCATGCACTGCTGTATTTCATATGGAAACAGTCACTCCCCTTGCATCATTTTATTACATATTAGTGTTCATTATCTCATTGCCCTACAGAATTCTGAAGAAATGATGCTTCAAGTTATTTAATATGTGGAGAGAGTATGGGCTTGTACATAAATGTATAAATAATGTTGCCTATTAATCTAAAATTGCTTTTCAGTACTGCATGTGAAAACCCAAAACACAAATGGAGAAACAACGTCCATCCCCAGAGCTCACAATGCCCCAAAACAGAGCCTGAGGTGCTCAAACACAGAAGACTCATTAGAAATATCAGTAACTGCACAAACACACAGGATGATTTGAACTAGAAGTGGGGTTTTCAGAGCCTTTGGTAGTGACTTACAGCATCATTTAGAGGCTTTCAAATAAAACCAGTATTTCTTCCTCAAGGACTAACTGGGGCCATCCTCCACTTTCTTTAAGAGTTGCCCACATTTTCATCTACATGTCTCCTGAAAGCCCCCAAACTTTGACAAGTCTAATGAGGTCAAAGTGTGCTCAAGACCTATAGATTGTTTGTTCCATTCTGTTACTAATACAGAACATATATATCTCTGCATATGTAAATTTTTCCAGAACACAGAGCTCCGGGTTTCTCACAGCTAGGTATGTGTTTGCATGCAGAGAATTTTAATTTCATGGGGTTTTATTACCACCATCAGTTATTGTGCTCTAGCAGTGGCTGGAGGGACTGATTTATTCTCCAACACCCTTGG